CAGGTGAGATATGCAGATGTACTAATACAAGCTTCTATCATGGGAAAACATTAAACAGTCTGTGGGAACCGACCTGTGAGATTTATATTTATTTAATTTATATGAATTTATATTTACGTTAATTTATATACTTCAATAGCAATTTGTATAATGATAAGTGGACTGTATTTCTGCAATAATCTCATAATCTCACAAATCGATCCTCTACACATTAGGGGGGTTTATTAAATTTATATATATGCAGCCAATCAAACTACAGTAATAGACTACATACATTGAAGAGGTTCCTTATCTTATAGTACAGCAGGCCTTAGTCCACCAGGTATAACCAGGATGTAGACACCACATTTTTCCTCTTTGAGGTAGCTTCCATCACCCTGGTAACTGATGCACAAAGCATGCTTCCTCGTCTTGACCTGACAAAAGGGCGCTAGCTGTAAAGCCAGAATCCTATATATGACAGTTATATCAGAGAAAACACTGCACAAGGAACCTTAAAGACCTGGCTTAATTACCTTTAGTATGAGGCGATCTTATGCTCTAACCGGGTCACCCTATCCAATGACATTAATGGCCACTAATGATAGATAAATGGGTTTCGGTAGAACACTTAACTTGAATTTGTTGACAGCGTGTTGATGATGGTACACCTTTGGTTTTCATAACACTTCGTCCAAGTAAAATTAACAGGAGCTGAATGGCTCCCGTGAGCCTCTCGTCTAGTATAAACAATGGCTGTGGCTCCTCACCCTGACGCCACTGGCCTACATTGTCCAGATGTCAATAAGTGATAGAAGGGTCACATTTACTCTACTTTAATATTGATAATTAAGTTAATTTATATGACTTGTTTTTATGATGGTAAAGTCCAAAGACTAATGTATTTAAGAATAATTCCCACCATAATAGGTGGTGAATTTATAACAGTATGTGGAATGATATCCCGTTTTCTATAGACGGTAATTCCACTACAAGTTACGTTTTCTATGGGTAACTTGTTTATACAATACATCAGCAATTATCTGTCTGTATGATATTATTATTAAATGGTGTCGGATTTTCTGACACAGTCCATTGAACTCCTTGCAAGGAAATGTTGAACTTGGTTTCACTCTCTCCACAAACAAGACAAAAACATAGTCTCGTCACAAGCGAAGAGAGAATGAAGAAATACAAATTAATGATGAAACACTTGAGTGGGTTGACCATTATCGGTACCTTGTTGTCACTGTCCGCTCTAACAAGGGGAAAAGGGAAGAAAGAGGAGCTCAACCAACACGAAGGAACATGTAAAAGTCGACTCAAGGCACTGAGAGCTATGACCTGGAAAGGGGTTGGGGGCTTCTGTTGCCGTGCTTAAAATAATGTACACAACCTATGTGCACTCCGTCATAATTTGTGCCGCACCAGTCTTGTTCACTTAATCTCAAAGTGATATGAAAAGACTGGAAAGCATACACAATAATGCAATGGCAATCATTCTTTGAGTCCACAAGACTGCCATAACATTTGATCTACGAGAAGAGCTGTCTCTCCCCAGTGTTAAAATCAGAGTTAACTAACTGAATGCTAAGTGTGCAATCAATATGGGTAGATGGGAGAAGGCAGCTCATCAAGGGAACGGAAAGATCTGATATTAAACCTCCGCCGCCTCGCGTCCCTATCCACTTTTGGGACGGGCTTCAGGAGTCAACTTCAAGGCAAAATCCAGAGTTGGAGCTCCCTATGGCAGTTCGTTGTTGACTTCAACCTCGTTCTGGCAGCTCCTGTGACGGCGCTGGAATCAAGTGCCTTGGCGTTTGTCTTTCCATTGGACAATTTCAGCAATGTGGAGAGTGGGGATAGCTGCTGCATAGGTAACAGCTTTTCCATATTGACCTACCCAAGCTTTGCACCCTGGAGAGGACACTCCAGCCTCGGCAAACAGAGCGCAACTCCATAGTCTCCCGAGACTGCAGTATGTCTACTACTACTATAACTAATAATAATAATATAGCCAGAGACCCCCCACTACAATGATATTACCAAGAGAAAAACTGAGTACTGTGATACAGGACGAAACAGGAGAAGCAAAAAATGACATCACAGATCAGTCTGCTGCATCGGAAAACTTTACCTGCCAAGCCTGTGAGCCTGTAGAGAGGTTACCGCCCTGGGAGGATGACCCATGTAGGATTATCATCAACGAGATGACAGCGAAAAAGTCCAACATGATGCCACAAGAAATGAGGCACAAGTATGTTGAGAAAATTTATGAAGAAGCTAGAAATGACTTAAAACAATTCTGCACTGATGGTTCTTCTAATCCTACTAATGGCAGGGCTGATGTAGCATACACTGTAATTAGGAATAATGTCTTTCAAAACGGAAATTAAGATAAAGCACATATTGAGAACTACGCCTTTTCAACGCAAGAAGAGCTAACTGCCATTATTATGGCGTTAAGATTCCTAGAAAGAAATACTAATGAAGAAGTGATCTGCACTGACTCAAACACTGACCGCTGAGGGCACTAACGGAGACCATATTGAATACTACATACCGAAAACTTCTACAAATTAGAGGTATTACCAGGCATCACCGTGACAAGGTAACTGAAGAAAGATGGATAGAACAAAAAATCTGTGAATCTGTACAGTGGTAAAATGTGGTTGCAGCTGGCAATCCCAATCATTATGGACGAAGAGGAGGTGGCCGCGGGAGAGAATCGGCAACAGTAAAATTCGTCTCTGATACAAATATCCATGGAGATTCGGGACGGAAACAACAGTTCAGCAGCGGTGTTGCAGAATCTGTGGTGAGAGTGACGGACACCGCCTTGACCAATACCTGAGAGAATGTGAACATCTACGAGACGTTAGAAATATGTGTAGGATAATAAGCCCCACATTGTTTGAATTACAAGAACAGTTTGTCAAATATTCTGTTATTAAAAGATTAACCCATTTTGCACCTGCAAGATAACGTAAATTTTAGAGTTTGGCATATATTAATTTACTTAGTTGATGAGCTGTTCACTTAAGACACTTAAGCAAGTCCCAGCTATATCTGGGAACAAGTGACAGGATGAACAACCCAGCGCATTTTCTTCCTATTGGGGGTATTGTACATGCTGCTATGGAGGTGTGTTCACTCACAGGATAAGTGGCGCTGCCCAATACTCTCACTATGGCAGTGCAGCCCATCCTCCAAACAAAGATCCAAAAGTGATTCCATTCACCCGCCAAACCCCCTGTTTATGAATGAAAACGGTTTATACACGACTCACAACTGCTGACGTTCGAACATATCCGGAACAAGTGTTTCACTGACGAATTTTGTTCGAATCACAACGCTATAAATGCTTCACCCACGTACTACAAATACAAATAATCGCCAACAGATTCTAAACACCTAACCTAACCTATGCCTATATATGCACAATATGCTAATATATTATAATATTAATTTATACTTGAGAAAATTCCGTTTTGAATGAACAGCATATTAAAATTTATGAATGCGTCTGTGGGGTCGACCGCTGAATGTAATGGACTTGAGTCGAGGACGGGTTGGGCGGTGTGTTCACTCACAAGATGAGTGGCGCTGCCCACATAAACTCGCCCCTCCGGGCAAAATAAAAAAAAAAAAATCACCTAGTCTGAACTCATCTTGTCTCAATTCACCACTGAGCTCATCCTTCGTCTAATTTATTGTATTGTGACTGGCTCAACTAATTCAATTTCCTTTGAGCCAATTACCTGTAAATCAATTAATGGAGCGCTTTTGGCAACACTTCCTCAGGCGTCCGTTTTCTCCCGTTGTATTTCCTTGTTGTATTCACTTATTTTTCCCCTTATTTCCCTGCATATTTTTTCACATTTTCTGCTGTTTTTATTGACTTGTTACATTTTTTGTTCTTGTTTTATTTGCTACAAACATGCTCCGTTTTATTTTCGTTTGTGTATTTTTTATATCTATTTTATTTTGTTATTTATATGACAGATTAAGATCGCTATATGTTCATATACTGTCGTGTGTGTGTACTTGCTGTGTCGTCGGTGCTGCGTACTGCCTGTCTACCGTCTCTTGTGCATTGCAGTCACGTGTATTCACCTAGTTGTATTCACCTAGTTGTACTTGCGGGGGTTGAGCTCAGCTCTTTCGCCCCGCCTCTCAATTGTCAATCAACTGTTACTGCTAACTAATTTTGTTTTTCCTTGTACCCCCCCCCCACCCCACACACACACACACACACACAGTGGAGCCCTACAGGGCTCTATACTTGAACCTATTCTGTTTCTGATATACGTAAATGATTTCCCAGAGGGTATAGACTCATTCCTCTCAATGTTTGCTGACGACGCCAAAATTATGAGAAGGATTAAGACAGAGGAGGACAGCTTGAGGCTTCAAGAAAACCTGGATAAGTTGCAGGAATGGTCGAACAGATGGTTGTTAGAGTTTAACGAAAGAGTTTAACCCGAGTCAGGGGTAGGCATGGGCCCCATGCTAAACCACGAGCCAAGAGGGCCCGCGCAAAACCCCTGCGAGCCAAGAGGGCCCGCGCAAAACCCCTGCGAGCCAAGAGGGCCCGCGCAAATTTTAACCATTTTCATTTGAAACCCCCAATTGAGATATGAGTGAAATGGTCATTGGGGTCATTTCTTTTACTTTTTACTGTCATTTTTGTTTTTTTCATTTTGCTTGCTTTTGTTTTCGGCAGCTTTTGCCTTTGCTTTTTCACTTTTTGCCATTGCTTTTTTGTTTTTTACTGGTTATTCCTATTCCACAACTCTTGGTTTACGTGGAGCTTCCTGCACCTTTTTCTCTGGCGCGTTGTCTATCCATACTTAGGGTGGGATTTGCCCATAAAATATTTTTTGTTCAACTGGAGCCTTGGGAGGATCTGAAGATGGTGGGGCTGTCTTAGGGCATCTTACAGCCTGTGGAGGGCGTTTAAACTTTGGGATTTTTGGTGGAAGCTCATATCTTCTTACTGGAGGACCGTGTTGGTAGGCCTACGATGCCTCGTCAGGGCCATCAGTGTCTGCTGGCGATGCCTTGTCTGGGCCATCAGTGTCCGCTGGCGATGCCTTGTCAGGGCCATCAGTGTCCGCTGGCGATGCCTTGTCAGGGCCATCAGTGTCCGCTGGCGATGCCTTGTCAGGGCCATCTGTGTCTGTTGGCGATGCCTCGTCAGGGCCATCAGTGTCTGCTGGCGATGCCTTGTCAGGGCCATCAGTATCCGCTGGCGATGCCTTGTCAGGGCCATCAGTGTCCGCTGGCGATGCCTTGTCAGGGCCATCAGTGTCCGCTGGCGATGCCTTGTCAGGGCCATCAGTGTCTGCTGGCGCTGCCTCGTCAGGGCCATCAGTGTCCGCTGGCGCTGCCTCGTCAGGGCCATCAGTGTCTGCTGGCGATGCCTTGTCAGGGCCATCAGTGTCTGCTGGCGCTGCCTCGTCAGGGCCATCAGTGTCTGCTGGCGCTGCCTCGTCAGGGCCATCAGTGTCTGCTGGCGCTGCCTCGTCAGGGCCATCAGTGTCTGCTGGCGATGCCTTGTCAGGGCCATCAGTGTCTGCTGGCGATGCCTTGTCAGGGCCATCAGTGTCTGCTGGCGATGCCTTGTCAGGGCCATCAGTGTCTGCTGGCGATGCCTTGTCAGGGCCATCAGTGTCTGCTGGCGATGCCTTGTCAGGGCCATCAGTGTCTGCTGGCGATGCCTTGTCAGGGCCATCAGTGTCTGCTGGCGATGCCTTGTCAGGGCCATCAGTGTCTGCTGGCGATGCCTTGTCAGGGCTATCAGTGGGTGCTGGCGATGCCTTGTCAGGGCTATCAGTGGGTGCTGGCGATGCCTTGTCAGGGCTATCGGTGGGTGCTGGCGATGCCTTGTCAGGGCTATCGGTGGGTGCTGGCGATGCCTTGTCAGGGCTATCGGTGGGTGCTGGCGATGTCTTGTCAGGGCCATCAGTGGGTGCTGGCGATGTCTTGTCAGGGCCAAGTTTTTCCGCTCTCGATGCCTTAGCAGGGCCACCTTTTTCTGCTTGCGATTCCTTGGAAGGGCCACCTTTTTCTGCTTGCGATGTCTTGGCAGGGCCAGCAGTGGCTGCTGGCGATGCCTTGGCAGGGCCACCTTTTTCTACTTGCGATGTCTTGGCAGGGCCACCTGTGGCTGCTGGTGCTGCCTTGGAAGGGCCACCTTTTTCTGCTTGCGATGTCTTGGCAGGGCCACCAGTGGCTGCTGGCGCTGCCTTTTAAGGGCCACCTTTTTCCGCTCTCGATGCCTTGGCAGGGCCACCTTTTTCTGCTTGCGATGTCTTGGCAGGGCCACCAGTGGCTGCTGGCGCTGCCTTGGAAGGGCCACCTTTTTCCGCTCTCGATGCCTTGGAAGGGCCACCTTTTTCTGCTTGCGATGCCTTGGAAGGGCCACCTTTTTCTGCTTGCGATGCCTTGGAAGGGCCACCTTTTTCTGCTTGCGATGTCTTAGCAGGGCCACCTTTTCCCACTCTCGATGCCTTGGAAGGGCCACCTTTTTCTGCTTGCGATGCCTTGGAAGGGCCACCTTTTTCTACTTGCGATGTCTTGGCAGGGCCACCAGTGGCTGCTGGCGCTGCCTTGGCAGGGCCATCTGTGGTCTCAAAACGGTCGGGCCCCTGTCCAGTGATGTCTTTGGGCATTTTGTTGGGTACCTGGCCACGCTTGTCCTTTACCTTCTGCGCCCAAGCACGTTTTTTATCTAATTTTTTATTTTTTATTTCCGTCATAAACGCCTCTATATCACTTTAACATTTTTCTGCCTTTTGTTTTTCGCCGAACACTTCCACAGTGTTGGTGCCGCCGCCCAATTTGAGAAACACGTCGTGCTTTTTTTCGTACATGCTTATGAGTTTCATTTGGTAATATTATGGGCACTGAACTGTCAGTGTGATCAACTCGGTGGGGTCGTCTTCTTGGCATTGTATCTTTTGTGGGCGGCGACGTTTCTTGGGGCAGGCTTTTGACTTTTTGTCTTTTGGTTCCTTCATAACTTTTTTGGGGGAGTCGGATTTGCTTTCTTCTTATTCTTCTTTTGTACTAGTGTTTACGTCCATCTCCTCGTGAGGGAGCATGAGAGGCTCCTCATCATTTTGAGATACTTCATACTACTTATCCTCACTTGCGATGACATTCTTTTTCGCTTCCTCGTGAGGGAGCATGAGAGGCTCCTCATCATTTTCAGATACGTCATACCACTTGTCTTCACTTGCGATGACATTCTTTTTGGCTTCCTCGTGAGGGAGCATGAGAGGCTCCTCATCATTTTGAGCAACTTGATGCCGATTGTCATCGTTCTGACGCTATTAAATGTGTGTTTTCTTCCGGCCCCACAAAATCTTTACGGCCCATATTAATTGCTGAAGTAGTAACAGCAGGGAAGTGATAGGCAAACATTCGGACCAATGACCATATTGGCCATCGTGGTTTTGTGGCTCCTCGCCCACCTGTAGCAGGAACGAACGCAAGCCCTCCACTTGCCGGCTTGAATGCTGGAGGCGTACAAACTAAGACACAGGTGGCACCGACTGCCACACTGGCATAGCAAGGCGGTCATCGAATAGCGTATGAGGACATCTTGGCACTGGCGAGAAACCGAGAAAACCTTTTGCTAATCCGCTAGCAAGGCTTGTAATACCGTTCTAGCGGGTCTGCCAGTCGGCAACCTGCTTCCTGAGCCCGTGGAGGTGGTCACCCACCAGGGCTTGCTGCCACCCCAGCCACCATTACGTACATACGAGCACGAAGAACACCACCAACAACGAGAAGTTTAGAACGATTTTGAGAGACATTTTGTTTTAAACAAAATGTGTGAGCGAGTGTAATTTATTGATTTATATTTAGGAAATGGGTATAATTAACTGCTTTATATTTAGGATGAAACCCGTTATTAGCATGGATAGAATGGCTGTGTGGGGTTGGTGAAGCAAGAATAGTAAGGATGGAATTGGCGGGTAGGGGATGGGATTAGTGACATCTCAACATCTCAACACTCCAGGTAACCCCCCCCCCCCCTCCTCCTTCACTGTTCATGGAGGACAGAAGAAAATGTGTGTGAGTGGCTAGTATTGTTTGGCCACGTTTGTGGTAGAAAATAATAATACACATCTGGTTGGGTGCCGTCCATCAAGCGAAGGGTGATTTAGTGGTTACGACAGCCATAGGTATAATCGGAGTGCCGGTCGTATGCAAGCCGTTGTAGGTCTTTGGCTCCTGTGGATTGTAGAGCTTCTTAATTACTGTACGATGCCTGTCGCTGTGGTTTGTGCGACCCTTAACGAGCTCCATTGTTGCAGGAAACAGATGCAAGTTCTCTCCATGATCCGGACGTATAAAACTATTATATTTCTCCACGATCATGTGAAGGATGTTTCGGTAATTAATAATCTCGCCGATGATTTTTCTAATTGTATTTAATCCTTCGTTTCTGTCCAACGGGGAACAGTGTGTTTTGTGTTGACGAGAGGCTTCTATATGGACGTCGCACAATAAAATGGATGTCGTCGAATATGTAAGAGATCTGTGACCGAAGTCAAGCGGCTCGGAAGGACTTTGCTTGTCTGTTGGAATGGTACTAGTAGTAGTCATCCATCAGTCTCGGGAGACTATGGAGTTGCACTCTGGTGTCGGTCTGGTCTGGAGTGGCCTCACCAGGGCGCAAAGCCAGGGTAGGTTGATTCGGGGGAGAAGCTGTTACCCAGGCAGCAGGTCCCCCCTCTCCACGGCGCTGAAAGTCTCCAATGGAAAGGCATACGCCAATACGATTGGCGTATGAGGATGGTACACATCCCCACATTTGGATGTTTGACAAATGGGATGTAAATGTTTGTTTGTGAATTTGGGTGTGTAGTGTAGATGGTTAGAGAGATAAAGGATGTTATGGTTACAGTGATAAATGTGTGCTGAGAAGATGATTACAGTGATAAAGGTTGTGTAGTGTAGTTACAGTGATATAGGTCGTGTGTAGTGTAGCTGGATACAGTGATAAAGGTTGTGTTATGTAGATGGTTATATAGAACACGAAACAATGGGTATAAATTTATTATGTTTAGATTTAGAAAAGACTTGGGTAAATACTGGTTCAGTAAGAGGGTTGTTGATTTGTGGAACCAATTGCCGCGTAACGTGGTGGAGGTGGGGTCCCTCGATTGTTTCAAGCGTGGGTTGGACATGTATATGAGTGGGATTGGGTGGTTATAAATAGGAGCTGCCTCGTATGGGCCAATAGGCCCTCTGCAGTTCTTATTCCTACTACTATTCCCTACTACACCTTACCTTGCTCCTCACCTTACTCTTGCTTATTTATTGCCTGCATCAACTTTCCTCAACCATCACCATTTGGTCCGGGAGACATCTCCCGTCACGCAGGGTGCAGTTGCGCCTCCACAGATCTCCAGTATCATCTTTTGATACTGGTAATGGCTCAAAAGGGGCCACCACTTACGGGCTATTCATGCCCGTGCCACCTTTTGGGTGGCTTAATCTTCATTAATCAATCAATCTTTCCTCATCACAGTGCGGGCTCACCACAGCCCGTGCTGCTTGGAACTTTGTTATGGGTAGCGAATCTTTAACAACAACATCCCTCATCACTATCGAGTTGAGAATGGTCCAGGACGGACCGAAACGTCGTCGTCTCTTCACCTTCTAGTGTGTGGTCTGGTCAACACGATGATAACGGTCGTGTGTAGTGTAGATGGTTACAGTGATGAAGGTCGTGTGTAGTGTAGATGGTTACAGTGATGAAGGTCGTGTGTAGTGTAGATGGTTACAGTGATGAAGGTCGTGTGTAGTGTAGATGGTTACAGTGATAATGGTCTTGTGTAGTGTAGATGGTTACAGTGATAATGGTCTTGTGTAGTGTAGATGGTTACAGTGATAATGGTCTTGTGTAGTGTAGATGGTTACTGTGATAAAGGTCTTGTGTAGTGTAGATGGTTACAGTGATAATGGTCTTGTGTAGTGTAGATGGTTACAGTGATAATGGTCTTGTATAGTGTAGATGGTTACTGTGATAAAGGTCTTGTGTAGTGTAGATGGTTAGTGATAATGGTCTTGTGTAGTGTAGATGGTTACAGTGATGATGGTCTTGTGTAGTGTAGATGGTTACAGTGATAAAGGTGTGTAGTGTAGATGGTTACAGTGATTAAGGTTGTATTCAGTGTAGTTAAGTGATGAAAGTTGTATGCTGTGGATGGTTACAGTGATGATGTCTCGTGTGTAGTTAAGATCGTCATGAATGGCGTATGTAGCTGACCCCTCCAAGCTGACCCCTCCAAGCTGACCCTCCAAGCTGACCCCTCCAAGCTGACCCCTCCAAGCTGACCCTCCAAGCTGACCCCTCCAAGCTGACCCCTCCAAGCTGACCCCTCCAAGCTGACCCCTCCAAGCTGACATTAACATTCCTTCAAGTTAAGCTGTGATAGTCTAGGGTTCGGGCGACCTTAATTCTCTCGACAGTCATGGGACATTTCGTCAGTAAATTCTCACTTCGCTGTCAATCAGTTGTGTAATAGCCAGGTGTATAGTTATTACACGACTACGGCGAGGTATGTTGTTGTTGTTGTTTTAGATTAGCTACTCAGAACAGTGTTCATGTAGCACGGGCTATGGTGATCCCCGTAAACGGCGAGGTATATATAGCAGTCAGCTTTATACATGTCGAGGGCATCAGAGTCGGTAAGGTGGTGGGTAGCTGGCTGTCTTGCTTGGTAGGTAAGGTGGTGGGTAGCTGGCTGTCTGGCTTGGTAGGTAGGGTGGTGGGTAGCTGGCTTGGTAGGTAGGGTGGTGGGTAGCTGGCTGTCTGGCTTGGTAGGGAGGGTGGTGGTGGAAGCTGACTCCATACACAGTTTCAAGTGTAGATATAATAGAGCCTAATAGGCTCAAGAACCTGTACACCAGTTGATTGACAGTTGAGAGGCGGGACCAAAGAGCCAGAGCTCAACCTCCGCAAGTACAGGAATCTTTGGACCCACACAGCAGTTAAGATACAAAAAATATTTTATCAAAATAATTATTTATCTTGTCATTAATGTGAAGTCGCATCTGACGTTTCCATCCTTGTTATACTGTGTTGGTGAATGCATAATTTTGGCGGTGTGTTACTGAGAGTGAGTGAGAGTGAGAGAGAGACCACAAAGCAACTAAGGAAGAGATGGGGTCCAATATATAGAAAATACAACAAGAATAACTGCAGAGTAAGAGAACAGAAGGCAGGGTGATAAATGAGAGAATTAAACGAAACAAAATATATTTGCGATGAAAATATAATGTGTAAAAAAATGTATATAGAGGGTAAGGAATGAAGACCCACAGAAAATGGGATTATGGAAAACGCAGGTAAGGGAAAACGGGAAAATTATGGTAAATATTTGGACGAACGATCCATGCTGGAAGGGTCGTCATAGTGGTGTGACGAAATTGCCGGGATGCTGGGAGGGGAGTGAGAGAGAGGGAGCAACAGGGATGCTGGGGAGGGAGGGGGAGCAACAGGGATGCTGGGAGGGGAGTGAGAGAGAGGGAGCAACAGGGATGCTGGGGAGGGAGGGGGAGCAACAGGGATGCTGGGGAAGGAGAGGGAGCAACAGGGATGC